AGAGACAAATGGACAAACCTGGCAATTTATCCCAAACTGACACACATCCCCCACTCCCTGGCCGAGCGGGAAACCTCCTCCCCCATCAGTGACAACCTGGCCCGTGCGAAATGGCGCCCACTGCTACACGGCTCCAGCCGCTCAGATGGTACGGGCAGGGTGAGTCATTTTCGGCAGAAAGAGGACGGAGTGGGAGGAAGGTGTGTGTTGGCACCTGTCCTAATACCTGCCTGGAGGTGCTGCTCTGAGAGTGACACTGGGTGATACTTGTGCCCTGACAAACGTACCCTGATGGGCCGTCTACCGGTGACTCCCTAATTTATTCCATCAGAAGCAGGACAATGAGCTGTCCAGCCCCGTATTCTGACAGGGCCCTGCCCCATGCCTGGGATCCCGAGGACACCTCCAGCACACGGACAATAATAATAGTTCAGAGGACGACATGGAGCCCACGCACCCCATCATACAACACCCCAATGCAGGCTGAGCCCTGCGGCTGAGCAGGTGACACCTGGAGCCAAGGGTCCTTAGGTTTCCATTCTCCACCTGCTCACTGCAGCGATGCGCTTTTTATTCCTACCAGGCAGAGATGGACCCAAATCAAGACTCTGGCTTGGAGCGGCCCACAGACTTCGGGGCTGGCCTGCACTTTGCAGATGCTCATCTGGTTAAATGACAGGGCCACAAGTCAGGAGATCTGAGGGCTTCTCCTAGGGCTGCAACCAACTTCCCGGGCAACTGTGAGCAAGGCCTGGGTCACGACTTCCCCATTGATCCAACGGGTCTAGCAACATGCTCCTGCCTCCCAGGGGTGACCTGGGGCTTCATTAAGTGCTTTACAACCCTGAACTGGAAGGGCCCTTGAGATGCAGAAGGACGGTGTAAGACAAGTGCTTCCTTGTTAGTGAGGTAGATGTTTAAACAAAATGGAGAAAAAAGGCCCTGACCCAGGTTAGAAATCAGCCAACTAAACCAGCAGCCCCCAGGAGAACAAAACTCCCGTCCCGCAGCATCACACTCTGCACCCCTCTCTCCTGTAACAGCCCGGCCTGGTTCACTCCACAGCAGGGAGCAGGTTCCTAAACGGAGAGCCCCTCCCCCTAGGGAGACCGTCATGCCACCAGCCCCCCTCTTTTAAACCGAGGGCACGGAGGTGGATGGCAACTGGCGAAGGCAGGTCCCTGGCCACATAGGGCTTTACTGGTGAAAGCCAAGGCTGTGCACGCCAGCTGGAGGCCAGCGAGGCAACTTCTTGTCCTTTAACCTCACAATGCGGAGCACCTACCCGGCCTTCTCCACCCCAGGCAGCAACAGACACACCTCTGCTAGCCCGTGCCTCGCTGCAAAGCAGTCGTCCTCTGGAGACTCTCCTTCAATGGACATCTGCACCCTTCTCAGCCCTGTCTCCGCCTTTCTTTTATAAGGGGAAGGGACAGGACATCAGGGGTTTCTCTATGATTTTTTTATCCCTTTTTTAAAAGATCCAAGATCTCCTATTCGGAAGGGCTGGGCCAGGATCGGGGAAGGGATGGACTGATATTCCAGTTAACCAAAGCGATACCAGGATGGTAGAGGGGTTGAGAGAAGGGTCCCTGCAGCTGGCAGGTGGTTTGGGAGAAGTTGCCCTATAGTGGGTGAAATGACTTGTGGGCAAAGGCCTTATGGGGTTAAATGGGATGTAAGTGGTGCACAAGCCCAGTGAAGGGGGAATTTCATCCCAGAGCCCTAACACCATTAGAGCTGCGATACTCAGACTGAGGCTTGCGAGTGGGTCTTTAATGTGTCTCCAGCAGCTCTTTGCATCAAACACTGCATGCTTTAATTATTAACCAATCAGGATGCTTTTACTAGGTTATTAACCAATTAAGTTATTCACTTGCACTAAGTGATTAACCTGTCCTGTTTCAATATGAATATACAGTGCTGTAGTAAATGAAACTATGAATTCACACGACTGTGGCTCGTTTGGGTCACGTCGATCACTAACTTGGCTCCTGAACCTCTGAGGTCTTTACCAGATAAAACTGCGAAGACGGACGAGTGCCAGCTATCCTGAGGGAAACTTCGGAGGGAACCAGCTACTAGATGGTTCGATTAGTCTTTCGTCCCTATACCCAGGTCGGACGACCGATTTGCACGTCAGGACCGCTACGGACCTCCACCAGAGTTTTCTCTGGCTTCGCCCTGCCCAGGCATAATTAATTGGCCTCTCAGAGTTGGTAAGACAACTCCCATCTGTTTATGCTCTCTGTATGTGTGTATATATATCTCCTCAATATATGTTCCATTCTATATGCATCCGAAGAAGTGGGCTGTAGTCCACGAAAGCTTATGCTCTAATAAATTTGTTAGTCTCTAAGGTGCCACAAGTCCTCCTGTTCTT